CGACAGTAGAACTGATCTCTGAGCCGTACGGTAGGCCTAATTTCAGTTTTCTAATAAGGCTGCGTTCCAGATACAAATAACACCAATTCCCAGTACAGCGTTCGTCTATTTGAACGCGCCGGCACCACTCTCGGTCCTCAGGGCTTGCTGGGCTAGGGAGGAAAGATAAAGAGAGTAAGGTAAACACAGCGCAAGTATAACAACTCTCACGAAAATATTAGCTCTTCGGCATGTTCATCACCAGTGAGCCATGCTTATTATCCAAAACAGGTGCATGAGAGACACGAATCATTTCTTTTCATGTGGCCGAAATTTTCAGCGGATAAAAGATCAAGGGTAGAATTTAAAATTTTTGACGGACATTTATGATGCGGTGCGCCGGTCTATTTCCTTCCGTTTTTCGTATCGTCACGGAAGTACATTACGTGTGAATGAAGTTCTGCTGCCAACATAACTGGAAACAGCAGAGATTCAAGGCTGCGAGCATGCGAAGATGAATTCGTGGCTCTCCTCCAGAGTGTGAGTAGCGGTCTGAGGCAATGGGTCATCTCTCCAAACCGCTCGTTTGATGATTGCTTCCCGCTGGGATCCAAACCATCAGGTGAACAGAATTCTTGTTCCAGCGAATGCGTCCACTTCTTCTTACCTACGTGAATTGTAACAATATTCGCGGAAAGTGCTGAAATCTTAGAGTAAACATGCTGAAAGAGAATTGGTCAAGTCCAGTCTCACACAAACACTTGAATCGATTTCTGTCACGTTCTATGGAATCAACGCGTGCGTTTCACACCTGCAGGTCAAGCAGTAGCAACAGGCGTTGCACGTAGACGGAGACACCGTCAGCGCAGGTGTGAACCTGAGGAGGTTAACGTTCTGAGCTGCAGGGTATTCAATTAAAGCTTTTGTGCATCCATTAGGCCTCATTGGAGTTCTTCAATATGGTTAGGTCACGGATGTAAATAACGCTAATTGCCAGTCCATGATACGGCTAGTGGAATGTGCCGGCATTTACCTCGGTCGCCTGAGAGTTGTCGGGTTAGCGAGGAGAGCGAGAGAGTAAAATAGACGCTGCGCAAGTCTGCCATAACTATGAGCCACAATGATAAGTTTCACAGTGCGCCGTCTAGCAAACCATCCGAAAATTTAGCCCCTTGGCACGTTTATCCCCAGCGACCTATGCTCGTTGTCCAAAAATACTGACATGGTTGAGTGAGACACAGAAAGCACTTCTTTTCATGTAGTCGGAATTTTCAGTAGATACATGTCGGAGACTAATGGTGCAAGTTTCCAGCCTGTTTTTTGCAGTTTATCGCACCGCCAGGGGAGTGCATTCGGTATGAATAAGTTTTTGCCAACGCATGTGTGAACATGAAGAGGTCAATGCTCCGAGTTCGCAAAGGTGAATTCACGGCCTACCTCCAGGGTGTGAGTAGCGATTTGAGACAAGAGGCCACTTCGCCGAATCGCCCAGTTGTGCTCGAATTGCAGGCATGGGGCTAGTAGAACTAATCAGTGAACTGGAATGCTTTCTCACAACCGGAATAGTGAAAACTGAATTATTTTGAAATGATTTTCTTACTAAGCGTAATCTGATTTGACAGAAAACATTGTAGACGACAGGTGATTATTTTGTCGATATTTTGCTGTTTAGGGTGGAACGGTTGTTGTCAGCTACGCACAGAGGCGGCTTTGACCGCACCAGCGAGGCAGCCAGCCAGCTGCCCTCCCCTCCCTTCTCCCCCTATCACCGGTCTTCTTGCCTTTGTCGTGCTTCCGGGAACAGGTGGGGAGAGAGTGAAGTAGATGCCCTGAAAGTCTATTTTTATTATAATCCGACGCAAGTCACTGCGTTGGCCTTCAGCTTGCTGAAGATCGTGGTGGACATCGTAAAAACTGATAGTTGAACTGTCAGTCATCCTTCCTATGCCGCTCGCATTGCAGGGTCAGTGAGTTGACCTCAATGGGACTGGAGGAGGCGGCAGGGTGTGAGCGGTGTCTACGACTGTCCCTGTGAGGAGGAAGCCTTCGTCTACGCGCAAACAAGC